TGCGCTTGCCAGGCAGGCAGTGTGCCACTGAGCTAAATCCCCAGCCTGATAATTTCTTCTTTATTCAGTTCTGTGCTTATATTTGGTTGGCTGAATGTTACGCCACCTGGATTGGGTTTCTGATTTTATTATCTATTCTCCTTGACTTTAGTTCTACTTCCTGAGAGATTGAAACACTGGTAGGATAATGGTTTAGAAATGAAGACCTGTAGCCAGAGGGTTACGTGAGTTCTTTTGTAACTGATTTCCTAGTTATATAATGATACACAAGTTAGTTATCCTTATTATTTTTCATTGTAAAATATTAGTGCCTAATTGAAAGGATGGGTAGGAGTCAGTTAATTCATGCATAGTACTTTGATAAATTCTTGGTGGTAGTGTCTATTAATATCATATGGCAGTATTAGTACCTTAAATTAATATTCCAGTTTCCTGTGTGATTTGTTGATTTTTCAAGAGCTTTCTTTTGGTTCTCTGGTATTACTTTATAATCTATTTGTAACTGTTGGGATAATTGAGGAAATCTGTGATAGCATTTAACATACAAGATGGAAACCAAAACAAATAAATCGAAACAAAATTAGTTTTAATATTTGGGTGGGCAGAAGGCACTGTTAAAGTTTCCTTCTGTTTCTTTTATGACAATAGCTCTGTTCTGTGTGGCAGGATCAGTATACAGTGAATGTTTAAGTTTTAAAAATTACTACAAAAAAGATACATTGCCATTAGTCTCTTACCTGACTACCTGCTTCAAACTCACTCATTCCATCATTCTTGGCACTTTCTCAGGCAGTTCTAGAAGTCCTCTTTTGTGTTTTTATTTGGTACGATGAAAAATGTAGTGAATGCTGCTGCCAAGTGCCATCTGATGGAAAGCCAGGCTGGTAAAAACATTACAGTGTGTCTCATGCACCTTACTCACTGACCTGGCACCATGGAGCTTCTGGCTTCTCCCCAGTCAAAATGACAAAAGTAAATGTTTTGAATTGACTCTGGACATTGAGGCAACCATTAAAGCGCAACTAAAGACACTTGGGAAAGAGGACTTCCAGAACTGCTTTAGAAACCGGCAAGGATGATGGGATAAATGTGTTTGAAGCAGAGTCTTTTGAAGGTGATTAATGGCAATATGTCTTTTACTGAAATAAGTTCTTTTAAAATTTTAAATATTTTTGAACCAGACCTCATGTTTCTTTGTTTTGCTATCTCTGTTGTATGTTAGAGGCTTTGTCTAAATTTCCTCATACTTAGGTTCAAATTATTTGGCAGGAATATGTGTGTGTGTGTGTGTGTGTGTGTGTGTGTGTGTGTGTGTGTGTATACCATGTCCTCTGTTTATCACATCGGGGAGTACATGATGTGAAGTTGACCTTTTCTTTTTTTGGTAATACTAAGTTTGAGTGTGTATTTAAGGTATTACAAGCCAGTTTTTCCATTGTAAAAGTACATTTTTCTCTTTGTTAACAAAGTGATGTTAGGTTGATATTTTTAGGCTGTTGGTACTATTTTTAGAATGTAATTATTTTAGGGCCAGGGATATAGTTCAGTGGCATAAGCGCCTGCCTGGCAAGCACAAGGTCCTGAGTTCGATTCCCAGTACCAAAAAAAAAAAAAAATTATTTTAGAATGATTAGTTGTGGGTATTATTTTCATTTTTTAAAAACTATAACGTACTGTGTATTTAATTTATATTGATTGTCAGATTTGCCCCAGAGAACCTCTTTTAAGCTGGCTTGTGTGCCTTTTTTATATGTCCGTGTCAGGTGATTATATGTCCATAAAGGTGATTCTTCTCTTTATCTATATGTTTGAAGTACATAATATAAAAATAGTTGTTAAATGTATATATCTCCTCTTGAGCCTTTTTACTTCATAAAGATTTTCCTTATTCTTTTTTTTACAACTGCATAGTACTTTGTGTAGATTCACCATGGTTTATTAACCAACTCTCTTTATGTTGTTTGGTCACTTAAGTTGTTTTCAGTATTATTCCGTTTCACACAGTGCCCTGGTAAATTACTGTGCATGTTTTTGGTGTTTGGTGTTTTGGTTTTGTTTTGGTTTTTTGTATTGTTGGAGCTCTACCTTCAGGGTAGGTCTTAAAACTGGATCAGAAGAAAAGTACTGGAGTTTGGTTAGATAATGGCAAATTACCCTACTGTAGAGAATGTAGAATACCTACAAGTATTATATAAAAGTGCCTGTTTACCCACTGCCTCACCAGCTTTTGAGTTTCTAGCTATCTAGGATGAGAAATGGTAGCTCCTGTAGGCAAAAGTACAGCTGAGGGAGAGAAAACTGTCTTTGTACAAAAACCACTTGGATTTCTGATTAACACAGTGAATTTAGCAAATGTTTTGTATATCTTCCCTTTAAACTCACTAAAACAAGAATAAAGAAATACTGAACTTGAGAGGAAAATGTTTCTTTGAGTGCTGTGCCGATTTTCATTTAAAGTGCTTGTGCATATCTCTTTTTCTTGGTGAAATATGTTTAGAACTTTTATCTATTTTCTAACAGTATTTGGCTTCTTTTGGTTATTTATAAGAGTTCTTTAAATATATTAAGTATAGTATTCTTTTAGGCTTAATGCGTTTTGCAAATATTTTATGATTTGTCTATTGAATTTGCTTCTGATATATTTTGCCATTGTAAATTTTTTTCTGTTGCATGATACTTGAGAGAAAGGCCCTAAAAAGCTGTCTGGAAACTTTATATGGAAGTCTAGGGCTTATCAGTGAGCATAATCCTTCATGTTTTATTCTGTAGAACTTTTGACATAAGAGTCCACTAGCTGGGTATGGTGGTGCATGCTTGTAATTCCAGCAACTCAGGAGGCTGAGGCAGGAGGATTGCTGTGAGTTTCAGGCCAACCTGGGCTACATAATGAGTTCAAAGCTAGCCTGAGCTACATAGTGAAACCCTGTCTCCAAAAAAAAAAATTTTTTTTTTACTTCTTTCCTAATGGGTATAGGTGGAGTCTAGAGAGGGGCTTTTTCCACTATGCAGACCCTTACCCCTGTTTTCTTCTGTGCCCGCTGTTTTGCCTAGTTTTTGCCTAGTAAATCTGTTTTCTTCAGGCGTTAAGGTATATGGTAGTTGATTGACCATATGTTTTGGACTGGGACCTGGAGATTTGTTTGTAGTCTTCCAGTCAATCCATTTTTACCTTACCATGACTGTTTTGAGAAGTCACGGAGCTATGGATTCCTCTGGCATTGGAGAATTCTGTAGTGAGAATCACCTAACTTTTATAGGTAGGTATCTCCGCTTAGTCTTATTAATTCCCTCATGTGTTTTCTTATCTTTTGTTCCTGACTTCTCAGGTTCTTTATCTCATCTTTTAAAAATTTTGTTTATTCTCATTTTAATGGATTTGGGGAAAGGAAAGGAACATGTGTTTAATTCATAGTGCTGAACTAGAAATCCAGATGGTATTGTGTAAATACTGTTCTTTCTCCATAGCTCCTATTTTGTGGTTGAGTCAGTGGCTTTCAAAGAAGCTTTTTAGGTTCACAGTCTTCCATTTGTTTAAATAGGCGTTGTGTGCCAGCACACAGATGGTCCTCATCAGTAACTGTAAGTTGGCCATCTCTTTCTCCTTTTTAATGCCCTGTTTGTCCTCAGTAAAGCAAGTTTTTTTTTTTTAATTGCAAGGAAAGGATTTGTTAGTTGATCTTAAAATCTAGTTACTTCTTTGTGGACCTGTCTTCTTTCTGGTTGATCAAATTTCATTATATTTGATGTAGTCTGTGCTTGATGGTTATAATATGTGTGTGTTATTTCAGTTTAGATGAATCCTGGTGTATTAATGAGCTTTTCATCACTGTGACCAAAATCCTAGACATTCCCAAATTAAAGGTTTATTTGGCTTATGGTTTCAGGGAATTCAGTACATGTCAGGCTGGCTCCAAAGCAGAAAAATCATGACAAATGTAGCAGAGTAAAGCTGCTCAGCAATTGTTGAAGTTGACTGCAAAAACTGCCTTGATTAGGAGCTATTTTCTGTTTGCATTTTGACTTTAGTACCATGTTGTGGCAGAGAGACCACTGCATTAATCGTATTTTTGTTTCTGTAATGAAATTCCCAATGCAGGGTAACTTTATAAAGAAAAATTTCTGTAGCTCACAGTTCTGGAGGTTCAAGGGTATGACAGTAGTGTTAGTCTGGCTGTGGCCTGGTTGGTAGCACTACCGTAACAACAGCATGTGCAGGGGCAAAAGATCACATTGCCAGAAAGGAAGCCAGAGAAGGGGTCAGGCTCAGGATTTTATAACTGGCTTTCCTGAGAACTATTCCTATAGTCCCATGAGAGATACTTCATCCCTCTAACAGGCATAAATCTCCCCTCCCCACCTCAAGATCTCCCATTGGACCCGCCTCTTAAAGGTCCCACCTGCTCACCACTACCAGATTGGAGATAAAGCTTCCAACTCATAAACTCTTGAGAGCAAACTGAAACTATATCCAAACCATAGCAACCAGAAATGTAAACAACAGGAGTCTTAAGTTACAGACCTGTTTTTGTTCAGATAGCTTCCACTTTATTCACAAGATAAATTTTTAAAATATTGATTACATAGAATACTTTCTAAGGTAATGTGTAGCTATAAAACCTTGGATTTGTAGTATACCAAGTTGAGAAAGGTAATTTCCACAAGAATGGCAATAGCTAGTGTTACATAAAATTATATGTATAGGGAAATGTAAAAAGTTACAAATGTGAATGACTGGGCTGTACGTTAGAAATAGAGTTTTATACTGGTGTTTGCCCTTATTCAAACTTGTTTTGATAGTGGAATGATCTTCATATACTGATTTAAGTCCAGTATTACAGTCACAAGTTTTTTTCCAATTTGAATTGCACATTAAGTACTGTAATTCATTACTGTAAGTATAATAATGAAGTTCAGAAAGTGTTTGGTCTTCCATGCTTTTAAAAACTCATAGTTGGATATTCTGAAGAGTTAAATAACCTGAGTTTCTTTTACTTTTTTAGGATTTAAGTGCCCTGTATGCTCAAAATTTGTACCCTCAGATGAAATGGATTTGCATCTTGTGATGTGTTTAACAAAGCCAAGAATAACCTATAATGGTAAGTCCAACTCTTTAGACTAATACTTTAAATTAGAATTACCTTACATTTTGTGAATTTTCATAATTTAAGTGTTTCCTCGTCTATTAAAGCAGTCATTCTCAAACTCTGGCCTCTGCACATTTTAAAAACACTTTTAAAAAATTATTGACAAGTTCAGAGAGTTTTTATTAGATTATATCTATTAATATTTTTATTAGAAATTAAAACAAAAATTTTTACTTAATTTAAATGTAATTTCATTATATTGACACAATTTTTAAGTGAAAAATAGGGTTACTTTCAAAAACGAAATACTTAGTGACAAGAATGGCATTGTTATATTTTTGCCAACTCTTAAATATCTTGGCTCAGTGACAGACAGTGCTTCCATCTTTTCTGCATTCAGCTTGTTATGACATGGCATGTCACATATCCCCTGGGAAACCATACTCTTACACTGCAGAGGATTGGAATGGAAAAGGCAAATGATGGCTTGGTATTATAAAATTTTTTTTAAACCTTGTTAAATTAAAAGACTTGAAGACTTCCTTACTTCCTTACTCCAGGATATTCTTTGGACCACACTGAAATAAAATGTTTTAGATCAGGCCTACAAAAAAGTATTGTTTGAAATGACTCATTTTCAAAAGTCAACATGCATGGTTGAAATCCTAATTTTTTTACTTTTGCTAAGAGTATATAATAATGAAAAATGAATATTTAGGGATAGAAAACAAAAGTTTATTCAATAAATACAGTAAATAGAAGGCTGATGGAGGAAAAGAAAGACATAGAAGTACAAAATTCCATCTATGCAATTCATATCTGTGTCTGTCTTTCTCCCCACAGACAAATAAAAATTTAATTCTATGAACTGTGGGGCTAACTACCAGTTTGGTTAGGTCCAGTGCTTTGGGCTATGCTGTTCTTTCCTAACAAACATTTCTAGATATTTCAGACTAAGATATTTTCAGTGTATCCTTGGCACACTTTGAAATAAAATTGGAAAAAGCATCCAATAATTCTCTCCTGACAAATAAATAGAATAAAATAAAAGAAGAATGAAAGTTTTTTTTTTTTTTCCAAAATTTATAAATAGGAGCAGGAGCTAAATAGAAATCAAGACATGATATATATCAGTTTCCTACAATGAATGTATTTATTATGTATCAAAAATATGCTAATAAAAAGAGAAAAAAGAAAACAAAATTTAAAAGAAATTAAAGATTTCTAGATGTTAAATTCAGTTTGATATAAATTGAATAGAAAGGGGCTGGGGATTTAGCTCAGTGGCACATCGCCTGCCTGGCAAGTGTGAGGTCGTGAGTTCAATTCCCGGTACTGGAAAACCACCCAAGCAAACAAAAAATAAATAAATAAATAAAAAATAAATTCAGCAGAAAGAGTACCATTATACAGTGATGCCAATTAAAAAATTGGCTGAGTGCAGTTAGATACTATATTAAATGTAGTAGATACTATATTAGGAACTGGGGGTGTAATTATAAAAAGTACATTGTAGGGTTTATAGCCCACTAATAGTCACTGATTTCTCTGAACTCAGATTTGTTAAGTAATGGTGTTACGTGAAAAATATCATGGCACTTTGTTAATCAGAGACTTCTCAGATAACAAAAATCTTGGGAAGGATACAGTTTAACATTGAAAAGAGCATTAACTTTGGGTAGTCTTTTGCGAACTGATTTAGGCACCCCCTCAGAGTGTTAACAGTTATTCTGAATAACAAATATACCTATTTGTTATATATTCATCTTTTTGTCTTATGAAATTGAATCGGCTGCTGTAATGCAGTTGAAATTTAGTTACTTATATTCTCATTCAGGCTCAAAATTTGAAGTATTTGAGCTTGTTTTCTATACTTGCTCCATTAACCTCTTACTATACTCCATAGATATGTCTGCTACAAATGTCTTTAGAATAAATACTTAAAATCTTAAGCCTTGAAAATGGGAGCACAATAATATATTTGCACACAATCTTAGTATTTCATAAATTTACTTTCTGTAGAATAAATCTAAAATACAGTCTTCTAATTGACTGGGGAGATAGCTCAGCAGCACAGTGCTGGCCTGGGAAGCTCAATGACCTGAGTTTGATTACCAGTACCAAAAAAAGAAACACACACAAAAAACTTCTCTGCATAGGATACAGTCTTCTAAAATGCAATTGTGATACAACAGCTTCTAATTTCATGATTTGTATTCAAATCATTACATTTTTCTACTAGATTACTTGTTTGGTATCTAAAAAAATAGTTTTTGAAGTTTTAAAACTGTGCTTTAAGAAATGGCCAGATATTACGTAAAGGAGAAAGGAGTTTAAGTGGAGTGATTTCTAAGATTGAGACTCTTATGTGTCTACTTGTTATAGGCCAGGGGAATTGTCAAAACCCCCTTGTTTTAAGGGCAGAGCCCTCACAGTGCCACATTATATTGGTGATGAATGTGTAGGAAAACTGACTTCTTTAATACCAAAGCAAAGCATGAGGTGAGTCAGATAATCTCTGAAGCTCATCCTTTTAGTCACCTATACTCTTTAGTTTACTAAATACTGATTCCCAGTCAAATAGATTGAACCTCAAAATTGTGTTAATACTCAAACAAGAAATTTTTTCATCCTGTTAGCTTACAGCTGTTATAGCCTTTCCTCAAGTAGCTAGATCTGAAGTTTTGAAATTTGCTTGGGAAGTATATATTAATTGTGTATAAAAATTCACAATTAGCAAGAAGAATTGGGCTTATTTTCAGGGTGGATGTATTTATAGGTAAAGTCCCCAGTAGGGTGATTTCCAGAGATTTGTATATAAGTTGGTGTTTTAGAGTTTCAGGTTCATTCTCACAGAGACAATACTTTAAATGTTCATTTGGTTTTCAGACTAGCTCACAACTTTCTTTTCAAAATAAATAATATGTCTGAATGCCCAAATTCTAGCAAGCTCCCCCCAGTTGGCCTGCTGGGTGATAGCTGGTTCAACAGAGATTCCATAGGAGGCTGAAGGCAATCATGGCAGGAGTGGACCCCAAATGTTGTGGGTAATGTAGCATTTAGTGTTGTCTCTTGCAGGTAGTATTTTGTCAGGATGTAAAAAATTTATAATGCCACATGATTGTTCAGGAATGAAGAGCACCCTTAAGTCAGGACTGCCTGTTTCATTTATTTTCCCTCTTTCATGTGCTTCATTGTTTTAATTTATGGGCCTAGTAATTCCTTGTGTAGGCTGTGAACCTAATGTAAATTTTATATGTTTAGAGTCTGTCCTCATTTTCTTGTTTGCCATCTTCAAAAATTTTTCAAACTAAAACAAAAGGAAAAATAAATATTATTAGCAAATTCTTACTCTTGGTGTTATTGGTCTTCAAAATACATTGGATGACAGTATATTTTGTATCATACAAAGTTAGATTCAGTTTTTACTTTGTCTTAGTTTTCTCATTGCTGAGAAAAAATACCCAACACCCAAAGTTAAGGGAGGAAAGATTTATTTAGATTACAGTTTGTAGAGGTTTCAGTCCTTAATCTGCAGGCTCCAAGGCAGGGTGGCACATGGCAGAGGGACAACCATTCATGGCAGCAGAAGACAGCAAAAGCAGCAAGCACTCCAGACAAGACTCTTCCTGTCTCTTATATTCTATACAGACTACCCACCCTAGGGCGTGTGTAGCACTCACACCCTTAAACCTGGCCAGAACTATGCCAAGGCAATCTGTGGACTGATTTACTAACCATATACCCTTAATCCCATCTCTGAAAAAGCCCTATGACTACATGAGGCTTTGGGGGGACAGTTAGACACAAACCATAACACTTTAAAATTCCTTGATTAAAAAGGAAATTTATATTTAAGAAAATTTTAATTTATTTGCAGTTGGTAGTGTGTATGTGCCAGGTGCACCTGGAGGTGGTGCAATTTCAAATAATAGTTGACTTTTAAGAGTAAATATAAACTTATGTAGTAAGTTAAAGCAGAGCAGCTGTTTAGAATTACCAGAAGTATACTAACTATGGACAGAGGAAGATGTGACTAGTAACTGTGAAAGTAAATATACTTGATTGAAAAACAGCTTGTTCTGCAATAAAAGTGAAGGAAAGGACCCCAACTTCTGTACTGTCCATAGGAGACTTTATCTTGTCAAGGACTTCTGGTGTTTCAAACATTGATGTATCAGGTAGCCAGTACCTTAATTCTAGTGTGCATGTGTAACCTTCTAATGTTCTAAATTCCTTTTAGCATACTTGCATGAATGTTTTTCCACTTTGTAGATAAGTCTGGCCTCTCAGGCATTTGAGGTTCCATTTTAAGGTATAAACTTGCTTTATGCCTTACATAGTACATTTTCTTGGTTTAAAGATTTCTCCCACACACATACTATAATCTTTCTGAGTTTAGGATTTTTTCTAAAATTGGCATGTCTCTTACACATTCAAGTTTAAATAAATAAATACAAATAGGGTGATTAATTCAGTGGTAGAGCACTTACTTAGTATGTGCAAGGCCCAGGATTGGGTCTATAGCATCAAAAACCAAAAATGAAACACTGACAACGACCAAGTAGAATTCTGAAGAATGTTGTTGCGATTGCCTGAGCATGTGTGAACTTTGTCTCCTATGGAAGATTTCTGTTAATATGATTCAACATCTCTGTTCATTAGGTTGGATTGGTAGTTTCTTTGGTTGAGTTTTAACTTAGATGTGGATCCCTAATTGTGGTTTTAAGTGACTTCATAAGCATTACATTATAAAGCAGCACTGAAGTGAAGTTATTCTCTATATTACAAATTGATTCTTGTTCATGGAGTAAAATTAAAGGCAATTGAAAGTGTCAGATTCCTAATACTGTGTTACAGAAATCTCAACATAAGTAACATCCCAAGAGTTTGATAAAAACAAAAACAAAATCCACATAGAATTCCTATAGAAGAATACAGGCTTCATTAAAGGTGAACTTGTGATGAAAAATACATACAGAAGGAATGAGAGTCAGTCAATATAATTAGAG